TTGCACCAAGGGGCTCGCCAAACAAGCCTCGTTGTAACTATAACGAGATGAGATATGAAAGAAAAAGTGTGAGGGCGTGTTGTGATTGGTTGATTTGTGTTTATTTTTTTTCCCGCAAAATAAAACCTATTAAATTGGCACACTACCACTCCCTAACGTTTTTTGTGCTAGACATGCTAAACTTATGTGGCTTCAAAAAAACTAAAGAAACCTATGTGACAATATGCTAAGAATGCTACAACTTTCTCTAACATAATACCCTTTATCTTATTCTATTGGCTTTTTATGTCGATGCTTTGTGATCCAGTTGTCTTTGCCATAATCACAAATGACATCCCTCCAAGCACGTTATTCACCAGTCTCACGCCAACCATATGTGTCTTTAGCAACAATGGTGGAATTGCCTTTGACAGAACGACCTAAATCCCATTCAGAGTTTGGTACCTAAAATTATTGCTCATACTTAAATCCCGTTCAGAGTTTGGTACCTATAATTGTTGCGCAAACTTATATGAATCACCGATGTCATGGCGTTTAAAACAAATAGTGGAGCCTTTTTGTTGACTTGAAGTTCCGGTCCAATGGCGGAGCTTTAACTTTTGATTTGGGGGGGGGGGGTGAAAGTATAATATGTATTAAAATTTGAGAATATGGGAGGCCACAATCCAAATTTTATATTTTTAGGCCTAATGTGTATAACTTTTAATAAGTATTTATACTTCTAACAAAAAAACAAGGATGGGGGGTGGGGGGCACATCCCCTTACGGCCCAAAAGAACTCCTCCCCTGTTCCGGTCCATCTTCTTCCCATATGGATTAGTCTGTTTGACAGTGCAGTTCCAATTAAACCACATGCAAACCCAAAATGCAAGATTAAGTGCCCCCTTGGCCATCACCACCTGATCCCCTTCTCTCACCAGATCTCCAGTTGTTGCATCACCATCTCTCCATCTAATTCTCACCATCAGTGGCCCTTCCACCCTCTTCGACTATCATCACATCCTTTTTTCTCACTGGGTATTCGGTTGAACTCTAAATTTTATTGTCATCGACCATCATTGTTGCATCTATTCCTGACCCTACTTTCTTACCGAGCTCATCTAGGTTAGTCTCCATGGACTAATTAGTATAGCATTATTCTTGAACTTGATTTTTGGAAGGTTGATTTGAAGCAATTAGGGTTTAACGTTTTGCTTTTGATTGACTTAATAATTATACATATGGTTCAATCGTTTGGAATTAGAGACTTTGTTCTGGATTATTTTGATTTCTTAGCTACAAATATTTATACTATTTGATTTGTAGGTTCCCTTGATGCTAGAAGCTCACCATTAGGGTGTATATTCCATTACTTGTATTAGGGTTGGACTCAAACCATCACATTTGGAATTTAATTTAATTTTTTTTGCTATATAAACCACACATAGGAAACATGTTCTTACAAGTAAGGGGAATTTTTTAAGTAAGTAAATATGAATTTTATGCCCTTGATTATCCAAAAATAATATGAGAAACCTTTTAAACAAAAAGTGAATAGTTCATAAGACCTCAGTTACACTGTCTCTTTAATAAATATAGATAGCATAAATAAGTATTATGAAATAAATTTAAATTAGTTAACTGTAAATTCGTTAAATTTGTCAAATTCATCATCATCATCATACATACTTATAAAACTAGCATTTTTTCTTGAATCTCATGCATTTGAAACCCCCTTTTTTAACTTCCTTTCACCACATTCATTTGAAACTCCCATGACTTTTCAATTTCTTTACAATAATATTATAAATAAGTTAAATAATGTTCTATAAACAAGAAAGGGTGTTTTATTACAATGTCTTCATCCCACATCGATGGTGAGAGTAAACAAGAGAATGTTTCCTCTTCTATAAATAGGAAAGATTGTGAAATGTTTCAAAGGGACCAAACCATGAGAACTTCCTCATGCCTACCTTTGTAGGATTTTGAAGGTATTATTTGGTGAGATTGTCTATATTGGCAAGTGTCCAGTTAACTTTTAGAATTTAAAAAATGGTTTTGAACCGAATTTTTTCAGGTTTAAACCGTGTTTCAGTTAGAAAAAAAATTATGTAGTTGGGTATATTGAGTTGAACCGGAGCTGGATCAATTTGGACCGATAAATGAATCATTTTCCTTTCACGACAAACATTTGAAACTCCCATGATTTTTCAAATTATTTATAATAGTATTATAAATAAGTTACATAATTTTATATAAATATAAAAAAGCATCTACCTAAACCTAAAATTATAACTGTTTGAAAAATCACTTTGATTCAAAAGCACGAAATATATACAAACCGGGTTTCACTAGAAAAAAAAATATGTAGTTTGGTATATTTAGTTGAATCGGTCCGAGTTTGATCTGTTTGGACAATAAAACAAGCATTTTCCTTTCACTACATACATTTGAAACTCCCATGATTTTTCAAATTGTTTCCAATGATATTTTAAAAAAGTTACATAATGTTATATAAATATAAAAAAACATCTACCTAAACATAAAATTATAATTGTTTGAAAATTCGATTTGATCAAAAGCACGAAATATATACGCAGATTATATTTTATAAATGAATTCTTTTTATAATGAACTTTTGAATCTTGAAAATACATATAAACAAACTTTCTATATTAAGTACCTAACTGAATTTATGATTTTAGAATTGAACAAAAAGTTATTCAATAAAAACTTACTTTTTTGGATAGCAACTTACGAGATTATAGAAAAATGGAACTATTGAACAATAAAGAAACGGTAAACAAGAGAAATGGTGTTTTACTAAATAAGTTGAATAATGTTTTATAAACAAGAAAGCGTGTTTTATTACAATGTCTTCATCCCATTTCGATGATGAGAGTAAACAAGAGAACGTTTCCTCTTCTATAAATAGGAAAGGTTGTGAAATGTTTCAAAAGGACCAACCCATGACAACTTCCTTATGCCTACCTTTTTAGGATGTTGAGGGTATTCTTTGGTGAGATTGTCTTTATTGGCAACTGTCCATTTAAGTTTTAGAATCCCGAAAATGGTTTTGAACAAGATTTTTTTAGGTTCAAACAGAGTTTCAGTTGAAAAACCGTTATGTAGTTTGGTATATTGAGTTGAATCGGTCTGAGTTTGATCAATTTGGACCGATAAAGGAAGCATTTTCCTTTCAGCACATACATTTGAAACTCCCATGATTTTTCAAATTGTTTCTAATAATATTATAAATAAGTTACCTAAACATAAAATTATAATTGTTTGAAAAATAAATTTGATTCAAAAACACAAAATATATACAAACCGGGTTTCAATAGAAAAAACGTTATGTAGTTTGGTATATTAAGCTGAATCGGTCCGAGTTTGATCAATTTGGACCGATAAATGAAGCATTTTCCTTTCACCACATACATTTGAAACTCCCATGATTATTCAAATTGTTTATAATAATATTATAAGTTACATAATGTTATATAAATATAAAAAAATCTACCTAAACATAAAATTATAATTGTTTGAAAAATCACTTTGATTCAAAAGCACGAAATATATACTTGATTATATTTTATAAATGAATTCATTTTATAATGACATTTTGAATCATGAAAATACATATAAACAAACTTTCTATATTAAGTACCTAACTGAATTTATGATTTTAGAATTTAACAAAAAGTTATTCAATAAAAACTTAATTTTTTATAACAACTTACGAGATTACTGAAAAATGGAACTATTGAACAAAAAATATTCTGGATAACGTTTTATTTTTATTATTTAATATTTTATTTAACAAAATGAAATTATTGGCAAATAAAGAAATGAGTTTAATTAAAATGTCTTCATCCCACATTGATCGTGAGAGTAAACAAGAGAATGTATTCTCCTCTATAAATAGGAAAGGTTGTGAAATATTTCAAAGGGACTAAGCCATGAGATCTTCCTTGCATCTAACTTTGTAGGACGTTGATTGTATTCTTTGGTGAGATTGTCTTTGTCGACAAGTGACCAATTAAATTTCAGAATTTCAAAAATGATTTTGGACCGTATTTTTTAGATTTGGATCGAGTTTAATAAGGATCCGAGTGTCTTCTGGATGAGTTAGGCAAACTCGCTTCCATTGGAGGCCGAGTTTAAGTAACATGCCGAGTATTTGGTTGTGTTAGCCAAGTTTTACAACCCTGTATGTAATACAATTTAAAGTTTTAACCTTATAAAAGACGTCACTATTATCATATGTTCTACATAATTATGGTAATATTTATGATACAAAACATTTTTTTTTATTATTTAAGATAAAAAGTTGTCTCTATTATAATATGTTGTACAGAATGATAAAATTTAAGATAGATAAAAAGATGTCTCTATTATCGTATTTTCTACATAATGATAATATTTAATATAAACGTTTTAATTTAATATGAAATTATTATTTAATAGATAAGAATAACGATTTATTTATTTTTAAAATTTTTTTTCTATTTTAATCATATAACTTTGTATATGCAAAACAACTTCAAGTTCCAACATTATCTCTTATAATATAGTTAAACATAATAACAATACTAAAAATTATTTTTTATATTTTTTATGAAATTATTATTTAATTGTTAATAACAATGATTTAGTTATTTTTAATATAAAATATTTTTTTATATCCCACACAACGCGCGAGCATTCGCCTAGTGCTTACATAATTTTATCATGTGAATAAATGCATCCTTTGAAAATTATTAGTGTCACATGAAGTATTTTATAAATTATTAGGTATTTGAAAAATTCATCAAACAAAACGAATAAAGTTACATTTTTAATTTCAATATTCATATTTGTTTTTTTTTCATTGGAAATATGTCCCATCAAAACTTTTTCCTATTACTAATTAGTTCGCAAGCCTTTTTCATTTATATTTCAGAATTGGTTTATAACCAAATTACAATTATTGTTTAGTCCTCGCTAATTATTATCGTCTTCTTTCACTTTATATTAACTAGGTGATAAAAGGCATAGGGGAGCAATGGTCGGCAAAACTAGTAGGTCCAATGGTGCCTTCGTCCTACTTAGATGGAAGGATTGTAGGTGACAAAGGGTATGGTGCAAGTTTATGGAAACCACTTGAGCATCAATGCACCAAATGGCTTGAAACCAAGCCCCAAAACTCAGTTGTTTATGTCTCTTTTGGGAGCATGGTGTCACTATCCCAAGAAGAAATGGAAGAAATATCATGGGGTTTACAACAAAGCGGGTTCAATTTTCTTTGGGTTGTCAAAGATTCGGAGACACATAAATTGCCCAAAGGGTTTCTTGAATTAACCACAAAAAATCAAGAAAAGGGTTTGATTGTAAATTGGTGCAACCAACTTGAGTTGTTGGCTCACGATTCAGTAGGTTGTTTTGTGACACACTGTGGGTGGAACTCAACGTTGGAAGGGTTGAGCCTTGGAGTCCCGATGATCGGGGTCCCAAAATGGGCTGACCAATTAACCGGTGCCAAGTTTATAAAGGATGTATGGTGTGTGGGTGTGAGGGTCAAGGTGGATGCTGAATTTGGGATTGTCGGAAGGGAAGAACTTGTTTCGTGTTTGAATGAGGTTATGAATGTAGGGGAAAAGAGTTTACAGGTCAAGAAAAATGCAAAGAAATGGAGAGAATTAGCTAAAGAGGCAATAAGTGAAGGAGGGAGCTCGGATAAAGCCATTGATGAGATATTGATGGCATTGAAGGGATTTTGCAAAAAAAGAGACTTGTGTTAAGGTTGAATCTAATGCATCATACTTGATTAGTTGAATAAGAACTACACTCTTAATTGGTTCTAGAATAACTAATAAACAAATTCACATTAAGTGCAACTTACGTTAGCTAATTTGTAACAGTTTATACTAATTGATTCTAATCATAGAGATATTCTATTACTTAATTTTCACTTGAAAATATGAGTTTACCACTATTAGTGTGTGTGTGCGTGCACGTGTTGGTTACCTTATATTTTGGGATTTTAGAACATTAAGGTACTACTGTGCATGATTGTGGTTGTTATCTTGAGTCTATCAAGTTTTAGTGGTTCATATTTGTATCTCTTACTAAAAGGTCAATTTTCAATCTAAATATTATTTGTAATTTGTTTTTTTTACTTTTTATTTATATACATAGATTTGAGTTTTGTTGTTTATTCTTTTATACCAGCTCACTTATCATTTATTATATTTTTATAAAATAAAGGAACCAAATCTGGAAAATGACAAAAAAAAGGAACAATTTCCTATCACAACCTATTTCTACAAAGTTGGTTGCTATTATACATTAACTTCACAAAATTATTTATCATAAATTTTCATGTAAAAAATGACCAAATATAGAAATGGCCAAAAATGAACAAGTTCTTATCACAACTTATTTCTAAAAAGTTGGTTGCTATTATAGATTAAATTTACAAAGTTGATTCCTATTTATCGTAAAATTTCATGTCAGAAATTAAACCAAATTTGCAAAAATAAAAATTCATAAAAATGAAACTAGTTCATGTGACAACTTATTTCTACAAAGTTGGTTGGTATTATAGATTAACTTTAGAAAATAAGTTTCTATACATCATAATATTTCCTTTAATCATAAGAAAAAACTATCATTTTGTGTCATTTGTTTCTGTGTTTTGTATGCGTTTCTATATATGTTTGTCTCTATGTTATTTTAAGTTACCAACTGTTTAGTACACGAGCTTTAACCTAGTTAATAATAAGGTTACGTTATAAAACACCTCCTCTAAGCTTGTATAATAATCCAATATGCATGAATCTGTAACTACTTTACAATATATCTTAATTCGTCAATTGTATGTCATATGGACAATTTTCTAATTTGAACTAAAAGTAAAAGTAAGCATATGAAATCTAAGCACATGGAGAAACATGTCAATAATCCAGATTATTCATATAATTTAACATATGTATCAAAAAATTTTAATCTAAACTCGTTCAAAAGTATTCAGCTAAATTTTCATTATAGTTAAGGAAAAGCATCGATGAGTTTAAAAGTATTATACCTGTCTTCAAGGTCCCCTTGATGATACCGTACAACATTGTGGTACATCCGACCAAAAATACGCAAGCGTTGAGCGTTTATCCTCTCTTATCCATAAAATCCGAGCAGCTGATGATAAGGCTCAACCTCGAATTTCCTAATCTCAAGCAAGCCGTTAAACGTTTTTAGGGTAAGCTGATCAAATTCCTTCAGATCCACGTATGTTTATTTATTTATTTTAAGGAAAATAAGTAAGAGGGTTTTGGGAAAAGTTAACTTTGCGATGCAATTAGTGTTGGTCATGGTTCGTTCCAACTTATTTAGTCGCGACCCGACCTTATGTGGGTTATGATGCATGACTGCCATAGCCCAAAACCCAAGGTCTTGGGTTTTGAACTCTATTTAAAGGCACCAAATTCTATATTTTTCTCTCTTATCATCCTCCATCCTCTAAGTTTGAGGAAGAAGCAAGAAGTTTTGGTGCATAAGAAGCTAGATCTAGAGAGTTCCAACCTTCGTGTCATCTCAATAACCTTAGTAAGTGTTCTTGTTTGCAACTTTAGGACTCTATACTTCTGGATCTATAGTTTTAGTCAGTTTGGTCCCTTTGTGGTATGATTTTCTTTCAGTTTGGAAAACTTCAAGTTGGTGGGATGCTTTCAATGGTTTTCTAGACTCAAAATGGTTAAAAGAGTGTTTGGCCAACTCTTTGAGCCATGTAAGGAAGGATTAATTCTTTTGACCGTGTTTTGGATCTAGGGTTTGTGTCTGCAAAGTTAGGGTCTAGGGTTTGTGTTTTGGATCTAGGGTTAGTGTCTGATAAGCTAGGCATGTTAGGAAAGTTTGGATTTTTATCCATTAGAAACCTCTTAAGATGGTGTCTAGAAAGTTATAGCCCATGACTTAATGAATTAAAAACTTAATAGAAGTGTTTTTTAACCCAGGATACGTGATGCGACCAAGGCTTGGTCGTGATGTGAAGCAAGGTCTGCTTGGTGGCCAAAGGCTTCTAGCACCGTGTTGACTTTTTAACCCGTTTGACTTTTGGCCAAACTGTGATGGACATGGAGTTTTGGATTGAGGTTGGAGATTTGATTAGTAATGGTTACTAAGATGCGTCTTATGGTGAATTTATGCGGTTCGGTATAGTTGGTTCGTTTGAGGAGTCTTGTGTGTAAGACCTAGACTTCTTGCTTCGCAATAGCTTTCTCGCACTACTGTGTGTAACATTATATGTCCTTTGTGCGGTAGGATGTCTATGTGAGTGATTAGACTATTATTAGACTATAAAACTTGTATGTTAATGTAAGAATAAAGTTAGAATATAGCGTCCATAAGAATATAGTTAGACTATAACACTCGTATGTTATTGTGAGACTATAGTTGGACTATAGCCTTCGTGAGACTATATTTGGACGATAGCATTTATATGTCGATGTAAGACTCTAGTTGGACTATGGAATTCGTAAGTGTATGCATTGTATGTGTAAATTCGTAAGTGTATGCATTGTATGTGCGGTGGAATGTGTGGTATATTGGGGAACTCACTAAGCGTTGTGCTTACTCTTTAAAGTTAAATGTTTTTCAGGTTGTTCCGGTGAGAAGGGGAAGGGAACGACGTGACTTGTATTAATATATGTTTTGTTTTGAGACTTTCACTAAACTCTTTATTTCTTATTCACTGAAGTTCCTATTATTAGATTAAATGTCTAAGCCCATAACTATAATTGGTATATGCTTGAATTGATAGTAGCACAGTCCTTTTGGGTTGCCTTCATTCTAGCAACTTGACAGGATGACTTTTGGAGAGAGAGAGAGGTTGAATTTATTATTTGGAATAATAAATTGATATAAATGATTTATTAATGTATTATGAGAATAATATATTAATTAGAAATCATATTGGTTAATTAATATTTAATCAGAAATTAATTTGGTATTAATTTTGGGATTACAAGAATTAATTAAAAGTGCAGGGGTTGTTTTGCAATTCATTGATAGTTGTGAAATTGGACTATTGGACCCTTTAGAAAGGAGTGGACAAAAATTATAGGGAGGTCCTATAATTTTTCGTCCAAGGCTCTTAGATAAGGAGTCCATGGGCTGCTTAGGCCCTAAGCTGGAAATTAAGGTTTCCTCCAGCAAACCACAGCTTTGGGACTAAGCAACCAACAACTATATAAAGACCCCAACCCCTTAGAATTTCGGCCCCATGCTATCAAACCCTAGTAGAGCCGAATTCTAGTGCTTCCTCCTCCTCTCTCCTGGCATCCTATTGCATAGAGTGTTTGTAAGCCATTAGAGGTGTCACATTTGAGGCACTTGCTCTCAAGATTTCAAGATCTTCAAGGATTCATTATTATTGCTATATAACAATCAAGGTATGTATCTAAACCCTAGTTTATGTTAATTTCGAAATTTGTACATGCCTTCTAGGGTTTCTAGTTTTGTGTTCAATGCTTGTATGTCTAATAGAGAAAACATAGATCCAAACAACTAGGGTTGCAAGCGTACATAGTATTGTTTGCTATGTATAAAACCCATTAGTGGTATCGGAGCGTATGGTTTTTGTTTTCAATTAGATTTGAGACAATGGATTGAGCTTGACAAATTAGGGTTTATGGAATTTAAACCCTAGGGCTTGGATTTTTTGCAAATTTGGGTTTCACAACCCTAGTTTCGAAAATTACTAAAGGTTTTTAAACCCTTTCCTTTGGCCTTTATATTTTCAAATTTTAGGGTTTGCTAACCCTAATTTTTTTGAAGAAATAGGCAAGTTTGAAAGCCTTGCCTTACACCCCAAGATTAGATTTCGAAAACTAGGGTTTTGGGTAGGTATTATCCTTGGTAGTTATCTTGTTAATTGTTTAATAGGATAATTAGAGATTTTGAACTATCCCTTCCGAAAATTTCGAAATCTAGGGGATAAAGGATTAGGTTAAATTAATTATTTAATTTAATGGATAATCCTTATATGATTTAATAATTTTAATTAATTTTTTTAATTTAGATAATTATTAAATCAAGGTTTTTAATATTTAAAATTTTAAATTAAATAGTATTAATTTTCGAAAATTTTAAATTAGATTAAAAATCCTAGTATTTTAAATGTTTAAAATACACCCTTATACTACATAAAATTAAAAGTATAATATTATATATGTATAAGAAAAGTCAGTCTTATCGTTAGTAGGCCTCATTTACGAAGTTGGTCTATAAGGGGGTATAAGGAAATTGCCTATAAATTGACGATTGAATGGGTGTCCACTCTCACCCACCGCTTCCTTGACTAGTGGATGGTCGTTAGCCGAACGGGTTTGATAGGACACTTAATTCTCATTAATAAGTATAATGGAATAAATAAAATAACTAAATAATTTCATAAAATTCCCAATCTTAGTTACTTTAGGAAAATGTGAATTTGATGCTAACCTATGAAATTGCACATTGCACTTTATGAAAGTCGTTAGTAGAGCATGTGTGGTTAACCAACACACTAATATGGACTAATAAAGGGTCGCAATGGGTAGCTCGTAAATTATCATTGATTAATGGAGCTTGTATGGTTAACCGACACATTAGTTAGGTGATAAATGACATCGAGAGTACCAAGCAAATTTGCATGGTTATTCACACCTTGTTTGTGATCCTCGGTATCCCAGTCACAAATGAAAGGGCATGATCGAGATTAAACATGTCATTGAATAATTCAATGAATCTCAAAAGATCTATGAAT